CAATCTCTCCTTTCTACCTGCTGAAGAGAAAAATACATGACTATGCTGCCATGCTGCTTGGCAACAAGCTGTATTTTGCAGTGGGGTAAGGCCTGCTGATATGCAGATCCAGGCCGGGTGCTCCACACAGGAAAAATAAACAAACAAACAAACAAACAAAAACCAAAGAGAAGTAGTACTAGCAGGGAGATGGAGCAGCAGGGATAATTAGAAACACAAGGGTAACTGGACCATGTTTTCTCATATAACACGCAGGTGCATGGGGTTCCCCTGGGAATCCAAGAAAATCTGAACTGATTGTTAGATGAACGTTCAAACACAGATTGCCATCCCCAGTGTTGCCTGGTAAGGCTCTGGCTTAATATTTTGCACTGCTAGTAGGTTCCCAGGTATTTTAATGCTTCTGCTCTTGGGACTCTCCAGAACCACTGTGGTAAGGATATTTAAAAGGCCCTGAGTTGGGTTTTATCATGTCACTTGTCACTTTGTAGATAACCAATCATCCCTGTTTATCTGAGCCAAAGGGATTTCCTTGAATGGAGATTTTCAGGGCTAAAACCCAAAGTCTCCAGAAAAACAGAAACATTTGTCCCTTGCACCATTTTTTTTCAAGAAATACTTAATACTTTCAAACAGAATTTTGTGGGTGCTTTGTTTTTAAGCTAAAACTTTATGAGTTGTTTTTTTATTGATATGGTAAGACTGGCCCCAAGATTAGAATTGCATTTTGGAGTTTACTGTATGACATGAGAGGCAAGCCAGAGCAACTGATACATGAGCTCAAGGCTTTACTAGGGGGCAGACCTGCTGGGCTGCTCCAAGCAGAAATGGAGGCAGCTGGTATGGACAGGTGTAGGCTGACTCTAAACAACATTTTAGGGGGCAGTCACATGGGTCATATTTCATAGACTATGAGAATTTATAGACTATGAGAATTTAGGGGTAGGGTCAGTTCTGAGAAGAGGTATTATGCAGGTGTTAGGTGAACTACAGAAATGGGGGGAGAGTCACATTCTAAGAAGGAGTGTAAGGAGACTGTTACAACTGGGGTGGGAATTTGTATGTTGTTAGTAAAATAAATAGGTTGGTTTAATTAGGTAGCCAGGGCGAACTTTACATACGTCACACTGGAGAAACAGCATTGAGAAATAGTAATAGATTTCTGTAAACAGGTAGGGGCACAGGGTAGGGGACAATCATCGGCAAGCTGACTCTGAGACCTTAGAGTTATTATACAGAATTTTGGCCCAGAGTTCAATATTGTGCTGTAGCTAGAACTTATTGTCACCTAAACTGAGGCAAAGCATGACTGTGATTATCCAGTGACCAAAGTTTCGGCTCAGCAACAAGAATTCAATCTGACCCAAGATGTTACTTGGATTAACACTTCAAGATTAGTAAGTGTACCAGTCTGGTACCAGTGGTGCATGCCAGTAATCCAGATATGAGGATCGAAGTTCAAAGGTGGCCCAGAAAGGAAAGTCTGTGAGACTCTTATCTCTAATTAACCAGCTAAAGAAGCTGAAAGTGGAGCTGTGGCTCAAGTGTTAGAGCACTAGTCTTGAGAAAACCAGCTCTAGGATAGGAAGCTGGCCCTAAGTACAAGCCCCATTACCAGCACATAAACAAACAAAATTCCCCAAAGGTAGTTAGTTGAATGAGATCTTGATTTAAAGAGCAGATGGGGTAAACATGTATAAGTTATCATTGATGTGGTAATCTCCAAGTTAAGATTATGACAACAGGCCAACAGGGCAGGCACTGGTGGCTCATGTCTGTAATCCTACCTACTCAGGAGGCTGAGATCTGAGGATCATGGTTCAAAACCAGCCTGGGCAGGAAAGTCCATGAGACTCTTATCTTCAATTAACCACCAAAAAACTGGAAGTGGCACTGTGACTCAAGTGGTAGAGTGCACGCCTTAAGCCAAAGAGCTGAGGGACAGCACCCAGACGCAGTGTTCAAGCCCCATGACCAACAACAACAACAAAAAGAATGACAACAACTTCATCAATTTGTAAACAGTAATTTATTACAGCCAGGTGATAGTGGATCACACCTGTGATCCTACTTACCCAGAAGGCTGAGATCTGGGGATTGCAGTTCAAAGCCAGCCAGGGCAAGAAACTCCATGAGACTCATCTCCAATTAGCCACCAAAAAAAACTGAAGTGGAGCTGTGGCTCAAGTAGTAATGTTAGCCTTTGAGCAAAAAAGCCAAGACACAATGTCCAGGCTGAGTTCAAGACCCAGTATTGGGGTTTGAAAATAAAATAGTTATTCATTAACAAAACTAGTAGTTTAGGACAACCTGTATTAGGCCCATGGAACTTCTTACATTCTTAGGTAGTAGTTTTCAGTGATGGTTTACAAATGTAAGGATAAATTTGCAGTGAGAAAACTGAAAGAGCACTTGGAATCTAAGTTTGGTTTGGTTTTCTTGCTGTAGTAGTAGGGACTGACCCATACTTTCTACTGAGGCAGGGAGCTGGGACCTGCAGGATGGATGTGGGCAGTGTAGGCCTGTGTACAGATACATACAGGCATGCACACACACAGAATATGGAGAGCCATCCTGGGAACTTCCTGAGACACCCCTTTTGTAGTTATCATCTCAGTTCTTGTGGTTCCTGCATCCAGCCCCTATGGGGAGAAAATGGGGCTCTAATGCATCTCCATGCCCGCGACAGTTTTGTCAGCTTGTGACCTTAACTAACCATTTAGGTATTTTCCCCCCTAATTAACTGTTTATGAATATTACTTGCATCTCATGCATCTAATTAATAACCCAGGAGTGAGCATTTAACACATGGGCAATGTAGCTTGAATTATATAACCTAGGCCTGTCAGCCCAAGCCCATTATGTAGCTTAATTACACCCACAGGGGATGTCCTAAAGCCCTCCCTAAAGAAAAAAAGAGAAATTCAAAGAGGAAGACTCCAGTTCTCTGACTCAAGAGCCTGCAGTGCTGTGGATTGAAATTAGGGTCTGGATGCTAGCTTTTAGCTTTTCACTTAAGGTTGGTGCTCTAAGCTTGAGCCACAGCTACATTTCTGGCTTTTTGCTGGTGAATTGGAGATAAGAATCTCACAACTTTCCTGCCCAGGCTGGCTTTGAGCTGAGATCCTCAGATATCCGTCTCCTGAATAGGTAAGATCACAAGCAGTCACAGGAATCCAGCTGTTTGCTTTAATGGTATACTTTCACTTTAATGAATAAACTTTGTGGCTTTGCAACTATACTCCTTTATTCTCAGATCTACTCTTTGATCTCCAGGTAAGATCCAGAACCAGGGCAAACCCCCAACACCCTTATAAGACTACTACTTGAGCCATACTTCCAATCATACCTTCCCCATTCAAAAAATTTTTTTAAAAAGGCTCTCTATATGGAGGCTTAATATAATTTTTATCTAGTGCTTCCCTTTTATTATTGGGGGAATTAAGCAGAAGAAACAGAGAAGTAGTCAGTTACGTTTCAGAAGCTTGAATTGGTTGAATTTGCTTGATCTCTTAAAGAACTTGAGTACCCTAAGGCCTTCATGTCAAAGTCTGACTTTGTTTCTGTATATTGGTGCTAGTTACCCTTCCTGAGTTTCCAGAGAGATTTTTTTTTTAATCAAAACTTTCATGGTAAAGTTACAAAGCATAATTTATTTTTCTTAGCATTCTTCAAGTAATTCTTCATGCATATCCTCAGAATGTACAAATTGTGTGAAGTCTATATAGTCTACACAATTCTCTCGCTTTACATACCTATAAGGTCTGCTCCTGGATGGCGAGCAGACTCCACCCTCCTCACAGCAAAGTCTCCACCCAGTACCTGTGTTACCTAAGCAACTGGCACACCTGAAAGAGGTCACTCACATCTGCATCTGCTGAGGTCTCATCTGGATTCACCTTTCTCCGCCCATACCCTAGATAAGGCCTAGCTCAGGCCCAGATGCCCTCTTGCCCAGGTCTTTCCCAGCCTCTTGGAGTGACAACATGGCCTGTTCCCAGCAGGTCTACTGAATAAACCTACCCCTTACCTGAATACCACGTGCATGGTATGACTCGGCTACCTCTTTTTAAAAACCTAACAATACCTACTGTGTGAAACCTATTTTAAGATTATATTACTAGTTCATAAAATGCACATGCTCACGATTGAGTGGGAAAAACTAGAAGCTAACATTAGGGATATTAATTAAAATTAACCCAAATCGCATACACAGAGAAGTCTTCCTTACTTAAAAGCCTGTGAAATTCTAAAGGTTACTTCCACCAACTCCCAGAGTGTTGAGATATGACTATCAGAATGTAATCTAGATACAAATTCAAGTCAAATCCTCTTTGAGAGTGAGCCCCTACAATCTCCAGAAAGCTTTTTCTTTTAGCAACAACAACAGAAAGTCCTCAGAGTGGTTCTTCCCGTTTCTGTGCTGTTGCTCTCACCAGCCAGGGTCCTCTCCTTTCACTCCCCCAACTTGGTGGAGTAAGTTTTTAAATGGTTTGGTCTTTAATGAAGGTTTTGGAAATTGAGAGAGCATGGAGGGGAGATAAGAGGTGGGGAGAGGGAGGAAGAAAGTGAGAGAGGTAAAGAGGAAAGGGGAGAGAGGAGAGGGAGAGGGAAGGGGAAGAGAGATCCCAGAGACAGACTTAGGCGAGAGGGGTGCCCGGGGGAGAGCAGAAATGCACGGGCATTTTTTTAAGGGTTTGGGGATTGCAAATGTGGGGAAACCTTGCCATCTCCTGGTGAGAGTTGGAAACGACAAAAAAAAAAAAAAAAGCTTACCGCGATGGAGGGACTCGCTTTTCAAAGCACCAAATGCTACCTCAGCTGCGCCGACCGATGCCTAGACCCGCCCTCCCATGGAAGCTATAACCAATAGGTGACGTGAGCAATGTGATTGACAGGGAAAGCATCCAATTCGTTACCCGAACTCGTCAGCGACCGGGTTCTTCCGGCCCGCGTTCTTCCCAGCATCCTTCGCGCTTCCGGTGGGGCGCTGTCTCGTCCGGCCGGTCCCGCCTCGCGCGCCGGTTTCGAGCTCGGCGTTTTTCCCAGCTCGGGTCCGGGCGGGCCGGGGCTCGGGGCCGGGACTCTCTGGGAGGGGGGGCGGGGATGGCGCAGCTCGAGGGGTACTACTTCTCCGCCGCCTTGAGCTGCACGTTCTTAGTGTCGTGCCTCCTCTTCTCTGCCTTCAGCCGGGCGCTGCGGGAGCCCTACATGGACGAGATCTTCCACCTGCCTCAGGCGCAGCGCTATTGCGAGGGCCGCTTCTCCCCCGCGCAGGTGCGGTCCCCACCCGGCTTCTCAACGCTGACCCTCCCCTTACCCTGGATCCTTCGTCCTCCCCAGGACGGCCCAGCGGGGCCCCCAATGCCGACACCCCACCTACCCGCCATCCTCGGTCCTCCCCAGCGCCCGACACTCCCCGCGCTTTTATTCTCAGCCCACCAGGGTCCCCAGCTCTGACATCTCCATCCTTTATCCTTAGTTAGTCCTCCCCAGGAATGGCCCGGGCGGGGGGGGGGGGGGGGGAGCTAAGCAGGGCCCCTAGCACTGATAATCCTTTCTTTTATCAGCCCCCCCCCCCTTCCTGGAACTGTCCTCGAAGTTGGCAAAAGAATGGGGCGATCGTTTTTTGTTCCCGTTTTTGTTTGAGATCTGTGAAAAAAGCGCCGAGTGAGTGGATATCGATGGGAGATCTGTCACCTAAGAAACAAATGAGCCGAGAAAATGATCCAAGGGGAAATCACATTTTTTTTTCCCCCTTCTCCAGGCAACTTTTTTTGCTCCTGGAAAAAAAATGTCAGAAGAATCGTTAGTTCTCTTGGGAGGCACATCATTGTCCATTTTGGGTGTGGGATGAAGTTGGGGTGGGACAATCTTCTGCCACCGAAGACTAGCAGTTCGCATTCATTTCATCGCTGAATATTATGGAGCCTTTTCTTAGCTGGGTAAATTGTCAGCCAGTCAAATTGCATCATTGTTTTGAAACATATTTGACTTGGCACTATATAAATACAAACATAAATGTGCTTCTTTCTGGTGGCACAAAATGGCAAGCTGTTTAGAAATCTAAAGTATGTTAGAGGAAGACCTGACTGTGTGTGTGTGTGTGTGTGTGTGTGTGTGTGTGTGTGTGTGTGTGTGTGTGTGTGTGTGTGTGTGTGTGTGTTTGACAGTTCAGGGACTTGGGGACTTGAACTCAGACCTGACTCTGTGTGTGTGTGTGTGTGTGTGTGTGTGTGTGTGTGTGTGTGTGTGTGTGTGTGTGTTTGACAGTTCAGGGACTTGGGGACTTGAACTCTGCCTGGGTGCTATCCCTTAGCTTCTTTGCTCAAGATTGACACTTTACCACTGGAGTCGAGTCACAGCTCCACTTCTTTTGACTTTTTGATGGTTGTAGACATTTTCCCGCTGGAACTGGCTTCAAACTATGATCCTTAGATCTGAGCCTTCTCTAAGATTACAGGCATGAGCTACCCGGGCCCAGGGAGAAAGACCCGATTTTAAATCTTAATGTGGTTATTAGTTTTTGTTACCTTGGAAATAATAGTAATAATATTTATCAGTAATAATTATCTGCAGATAATAGGTAAAGTTATCTAATGTAGGACCTGTAACACGATTTAAAAAGCAAAACAGGATTTATCACAATTCCTGAAATGGTTTGAATTTGTTTTCTTACAGAATATACACTTCAATCTCTGTACACTTTTACCAACTTATAGGAGTTCCAGTTGATGTTTGTGTGGTTCATAAAACTGTAAACTTTGCAATATAGTCACCATAGAAATAAATTTCTATGCTTCTGGATAACTTAACAATTACCAACAAGTTCAGGGACCAAAAAAGTTCACTAATTTTTTTTTTCCAGAGGAGGCACCTAAATAATCTGGCAGAACTGTTCTAACTGTGTCGTAGGTGAGCATTTCAGAATTCTCTGTAGGTCTGTTGTAACTGTGTCATAGGTGAGCATTTCAGAATTCTCTGTAGGTGAATTTAGTGTATTTGTGCCTATTCTGTTCCTATCACTTGTTGGCATTGCTTCATTGTTGACTTTCCCTTTTTTAAGTGGGATCCCATGATCACCACACTACCTGGTCTGTACCTGGTGTCAGTTGGAGTGGTCAAGCCCGCCAGCTGGATCTTTGGATGGTCAGAACATGTCGTCTGCTCCATTGGGATGCTCAGATTTGTCAATCTTCTCTTCAGTGTTGGCAACTTCTATTTACTCTATCTGCTTTTCCGTAAAGTCCAACCCAGAAACAAGGTATGTTTCAAAATAATTACAAGTTTCTGTGTGGTTGGGTCTACAGTTTATAAATTAGCTTTATACAATTCAGAGAAAAATGTCTAACAGCACTTGGATAATAACTTGAGAAGAAATTTCATATTTAAATATGGAATAACTGTTCATAAAGTTGGAGGGTTGCTAGTGAATCAATCCAGTTGCATAGTTAGCCACAGAGATAAGTGCCACAGAGATAAATGACTAAGGCTTTTCTTTTCAGAATGGACTGTGACATTTTGATGTGATCTAACAATGCATACCCTGGAGGTAGATGTCTGAACTTTGAAGTCTGCTCCTGCCACTACCCTGAGTTACTTTGGGCAGCTTACCCCTTTGTGATGCTCTGTCTTCATCTATTAAATAGGAATAATAACAGAATGTACATCATTGAATTGTTATGGAAAGTAAAGGAGCTTAAGAGGAAAGTGCTTAGGAGTGCTTCATAGATAGTAAAGATGCAATAACTATTAACTGTAATAATCTTAATTAAAAGAGAATATTTCAGTAGTTTAAATTATGACTAGGAGTTGGGCATAAGATTCTGTGAAGTTACAAAACATTCAAGGAAAGAGCACAGGAGCCTGTGTTGAAGCCTGCCTCAGTAAACAGAGAGTGAGTGGCTTTGGGAAAGGCTTCCCAGAGAAAATGGTGCCAGTATTGAAACTTGATGAATAGACAAGGCCTTAGAGTTGGGATTTATCCTGGCAGGAGAAGCAGTGCAAACAAAGGTAGAAAGACCTAGAAAAAGAATATGCAGGAAATTTGTGTTTGAAATTTTGGTAACACAAGCCTATAATCCTAGCTACTTAGAAGGCAGAGGTTGAGGATAATTCCCTGTTTGAGGCTAGGGAAGATCTAAAAGTTTGTGAGACTCCATCTCAGTCAATTACTGGGTGTGGCATTATATCTCTTATCCCTGCTACAACCAGATATGGTGGCATGCTTCCATCATCCCCAGGACAAAGGGAAGTACAAGTAGGGAGAGCAGCCTGGGCTGGCCTGGCCATAAAGGGAAGCCCTAACTTGAAATTAATCAAGGCAGAAAGGGATGAGAAGTGTGGCTCAGGTGGTAGAGTGCCTGCCTACCTGCCTGCCTAGCAGGCATGAGGTCCTTAGTTTAATCCCTAGTACCACATACACAGAATTATGAATTACGGAATATAAAGCTAGAGAAGTGTACATAGAGGTGATGTTACAAATGTCCTATGCACCATAAAGAAGACATTGAACCTTATATCACATAATCAATGAAGAGACCTTAATTTTAATCCAGGGAACATTTTGTCTAATTTTGTGAGTTAAGGAGATAAAAGCACTGGTTAGAACAGTATATATTTGTGTGCACCTTTACGTTGTTTCCAGTGAGTTTTGAGGGGATATCTGTACAAGAAATTGGTGATGAGAACTGAGTACTGTATTATTTATGGAAGGTGCTCAGGGAGAATAGAGTCACATGTGCTTCGTGTTATTTATCAGTGTTCCCTGGAGGACTCACGTCAGTGTCCTGCACCCAGGAGGTTTTGTTAAGTGATTTAAAATACTTTAAGCCCTAAGACATTTGGCACAACATGTATTGTTTTACTGGCTCCCAAGCTGGTAAACATAACTGAAAAGTACAGAGAAGTGTTCTTATAAATGTGGTTTTGCAAAGTTAGAAATGAGATTTAATATTGGAACAATTTTATTTTAGTAAGACTAGAGTAGTTTTTAAATAAATATCTTCAATAACTCATGGATTGTATATTTGTTTTGTTATGAGATTTTTAACTGCTGTGGTTTTTTTTTCTTTTCCCCTTCCAAGGCTATGTCAAGTATCCAGAGAATCTTGTCAACATTAACACTAGCAGTATTTCCAATACTCTATTTTTTTAATTTCCTTTATTACACAGATGCAGGATCTGTGTTCTTTACTCTTTTTGCCTATTTGATGTGTCTTTATGGAAACCATAAAACTTCAGCCTTGCTTGGATTTTGTGGCTTCATGTTTCGCCAAACAAATATCATCTGGGTTGTCTTCTGTGCAGGGCACATAATTGCACATAAATTGACTGAAGCTTGGAAAACTGAGCTACAGAAGAAGAAGGAAGAGAGACTTCCTCCTGTTAAAGGACCAGTTTCAGAATTCAGCAAAGTCCTTCAGTTTCTGCTGGTATATTCCATGTCATTTAAGAACCTAAGTGTGCTCTTCTTACTGACGTGGCCCTACATCCTTCTGGTGTTTGTGTTCTGCACCTTCGTAATAGTGAATGGGGGAATTGTTATTGGGGACCGTAGTAATCATGAAGCCTGTCTTCATTTTCCTCAGTTATTCTACTTTCTCTCCTTTACTCTCCTCTTTTCCTTCCCACACTTAGTGTCTCCTACCAAAATTAAGGTGTTTCTTTGTTTAGTGTGGAAACGTAGGGTTCAGTTTGCTCTGATTACTTTACTCTCAATATTTTTTGTGTGGAAGTTCACTTATGTTCATCAATACTTGCTAGCGGACAATCGACATTACACATTTTATGTGTGGAAAAGAGTTTTTCAAAGATATGATGTTGTGAAATATTTGTTAGTACCAATCTATATATTTGCTGGTTGGACTATGGCTGACTCTTTGAGATCCAAATCAGTTTTCTGGAATTTAATGTTTTTTGTATGCTTAGTCACTTCAATAGTTCCTCAGAAACTTCTAGAATTCCGTTACTTCATTTTACCTTACATTATTTATAGACTTAACATACCTCTGCCATCCATACCCAGACTTGTTTGTGAATTGGGCTGCTATGCAGTTGTTAATTTTATAACGCTTTATATCTTCCTGAATAAGACTTTTCAGTGGCCAGATAATCAGGACATTCAAAGGTTTATGTGGTAATGTCAAGGATACGTTGAACCTTAGAAGTAGACTTTAATATTTAGAATATTTCCACAATAAATAACTGAATATATAGACATTACAGATTTTTTTAGGCACAATGGTAATTCAGACCACATCAGATTTTTTTAACATGTTTTCAATAAGCACATATAACAAATACAAGGTAGTTAGAGCCAAGAAACTCAAGACCTACCTGAAAAGCCTAAATAATTGTAAAATGAAGTTGTTTACAATTATCTCATGTCTCTGATACTGCTAACTGCTCCAAAAGCTTGGAAACATGGTATATACAAGTTTAGGAAATTGAGTATGCATCATAGCACTGGAACTAATGTACCAATTCTCTTCAGAAGGAATAGTATTCGAAAAATATTTACAAATGATCCAGCAATATTTGATGGAAAAATTATTTAAAATATTCAGTAAATATAATTTCAATCATAAGTTAGAATAGATTTGCATGCATAGTAAACTATAAGCCAGAGGCTCATTATCTAGGAATCAAGTTGAGGGTTTTTATTTAACATCTAGAAATGATGAAACTATCCCACTAACTCCTAACATGCACTGTATAAAGGCCAAAGAAAAATGGTGTGGTATTGATTATGTCTTAAGGAGATTTTCTTTCGGAAATAATATTATGTGTGAGTTAAGGCTACTGTAAAAAAATGTCATCCAAATTGGTAGCTTAAAAATCTTCCAACTTCTCAGCCACTCACTTGTGGCTTATACCTGTAATCCTAGCTACTCTGGAGGATGAGATCTGAGGTTCACAGTTCAAAGCCAACGCAGGCAGGGAAGTCCATGAGACTCATATCCAACTAACTACCAAAATGCTGGAAGTGGATCTGTGGTTCATGTAGTAGCATCCCAGCCTTGAGTGAAAAAAAACCAGCTCAGGGACAGCACCCAGGCCCTGTGTTGAAGCCCTTGGGCTGGTATGCACACACAAAATTCCTCTCAAGTTTATAGAAACTGGAGTTAGAAATCAGAATGTCAGACAGCTAGCTTTGAGTATGGACACATCACTCCACTCTGCTTAGAAGAAGGTAGACCTTCACATGGCCTTCTTCCATGTTCTCTTTCTCTTAGTAGGCTAGTGCCATTGGAATCAAGGCCCCCTCTCTAGTCCCCAGCCTACTGTAATCTCATCTGGAAATCTGTTAAAATAATCTGCAAAGACCTCTTCCCAAGTAATTTCATGTTCATAGGTTCTGGGTGCATATCTTTTTGTAGAGCAAAAAAACTTTAGGATAAACCTAAGAGGTTAAGGAAATGATATCTTTGCCTTAGCAAAGATTTATTTTAGTATAACATTTAGTATAACATTTAAAGCAAAGCAAAAAAGAAACATTTCCTCATGCAGGAAATGGGAGTTAAGATCTTTTAAATTTTGTCTTAACCGAGAGGTTCAAAATAAGTGACTTCTGAGGTTATATAAATGTCAATCCAATTAATATTTGATTCTATTATTTAAAAAAAAAACAGAATTGAATGGTCAGGAGCCATTTGTTCTAATGGTGTTTCATAGGTTTAGGGAATGATAGCTGGCAAATACTTGTCGGTGGCAGGTTTAGGTTGTGTTTACTCCTTCCTTCCTTCCTTCCTTCCTTCCTTCCTTCCTTCCTTCCTTCCTTCCTTCCTTCCTTCTTTCTTCCTTCCTTCCTTCCTTCTTTCTTCCTTCCTTCCTTCCTTCTTTCTTCCTTCCTTCCTTCCTTCCGTTCTTTCATTCCTGACAGTTTCACTCCTTGGGTGGTGCTCTACCTTATTAACTGTTTTCATTGAATTCATTAGGGTGTCATTGCACTGCAGGCAGGTGTTTGGGGGGTATGTTAACTTTGACATGTCAACTAAGAACTGTGAGTAGAACTCACCTTGTAACTTAATTCTACCTTTCTAAACTTTGTAAAAAGCTGCTGTAAGTGTGAAGAGATCACTTTCTCTCATTGGATTATTCTTTCTTTAGTCTTTATGTCCTTGGTAAATTTGGAAAGTATTTCATATCTGCAGATATAAAATAGTATGCAGGGAAAGAATTGCATTTATAGTCTTAGTAATAAATAGAGACCATTCTTTTGTTGTTTCTGTTCAGTATGGAGAAAGTAGATTGACTCAGTCATCATACAGATCATAGGAAAAATTGTAGGACAAACCAATATCAAGAAGTCAAAATTGAGATAAAAATACATAATTTAGGAAAAGCACCTTTCTTATCTGATACTGTCAGTGCAAGGCTTTTGTGTTTGTTAATATTCTTGAGAGGAAAATGCTTTCCGTTTTGACCTAGTCTGGCAAAACAGGGAAACCACACTCCCTGGCACAGCTAGAGAAGACAGCTTTTGGAGACTGCTGTTCCACTTGAAGTGGAGTCACTTCCTTTTTAAGAAATGTTCTTATCAAAGAAATAGGTGAGTCTTCCCCATTTTCCATAAAGTAGAGCCCTAAATGCCATGAATTAAGAGGTGCTATATTCTCACTAATTTATGATCTTAAAACAGGGATGTTTATCAGTACTTTTGAGTTCCAGACCGACAGGTGTTTTGATTAAATTTTCTCAGAAGATAATCATCAATTGGTGGATTTTCCAAGATCTATAAAGAACTACACTGAGTACAGAATGGGTAGGCAGCTCAGCCCAGCAGAACTGCTGCTCAGGATTCAATTCCACATTCATACCTGTGAACCAACTCACCTGAAAACACACTGACTAACTGTTCCCAAGTCTTCACTCTTACAAGCATTCTAAGTTTGTTTTTGTTTTTTTTTTTAATCTTTAGACTTTCTAAAAGCTATTGAGGAAATATTTTCCCTGAAATTTTAAAAATTAGACTAAATGGGATTTATTAATTAAAAAGCAACTCTGAAAAATGACATGAGTTTGCATATGAGTCTGTGGAGCTTGCCAATGCTTTTACAGTCTGGAGTAAGTTGTTTTAGTCCATGTACCATTTCTGGCTCAAAAGTCATCTCAAACTAGTTTCAGCCTCATCAGAACAATCTAGACAGTTACGAGTTTTATCTTTAGCTAGCACAGTAACATTTCAATATATTGTAGTTTCCCTACATCTGTATTTTTTTCTTAGTGGTTACTCAGAAATCTTTTGGAACTGCATTCAGCTATTTATTTAAGTGGTTCAGAAATACAGTGTTCCTTAAATTAACATGGTTTGTCATCTTAGCAAAAGAAATTATTTTAGCTCTCTGGCTTTATTCTCTTCTGAGAGTCATCTCTGGAATGTGCTCAGCTTATTATAGAATACCTTACTTAAAAATAATGTTACTTCCAGTAAATAAAACAATACATTTCTAATTTGAACTTACCTGCCCCTTGGCTTGGCATTCTCTTCTTCATTGTCTAAAAGGAACAGATACACAACTTTTATTTACAACCTCTGAAGAGTGAATTCATTTTAGACCCTGATAAAAAAAATGTATTCAGATGAAGAAGTAAATTTGTGCTTATTAGATTAGAAACTTTTTTAACCTTGGAAACAATCAGGGTTTTATCAAACAGTAAAACAAAAAATGTGGTGTAAATATGACAGTGTTTTTCTAATGGAAATTAAAATGGGCTGTTGAAAAGGCATTTAACACGTGGATTTCTATATTTGATTGCTGCTCAGGAATCAGTTAAGACATGTTGTTTAGGGCTTGTTGTTTGGTCCTTGTTTCAAATGAGAATAGTATTCTGATTTTAGTTGGTGTCTGTTTAGGGCCCAGCCTATTTAAAAAAAAATTCATCTCCTGTTATAATTCATAAGGTTCACAAGCATGTTGTGTGATGAATAAATACTGGAGATTTTTAGTATAGAATAAAGCAGATTTTAAGAAAATAACTATATAACCATGGCTAGTTTTAGAAAATAAATCATTTTTCATGACAGCTATCTTGATTCTATGCCTGTCTAATTTCTCACTTTCAACTTTTTTTTTTTACCATATTGTTGAGTGCTTACATTTGGATTTACTTGGCAAAATGTTATTTATTGTTTTTATCATAGAATCTATTTATAATAGGATATACTTTGCAAATTCTCAGTATTTAAAGAAGAAAATTAATTTTTACTCATTGAATGATTCTGGGTAGAATTTTTGATGGTTTATATGACTTTAAAGACAAAAGAAATTTCAACTGATTCCAAATATTTTGTGGGGTTTTTTTTGTACGCTGTTTTTTTACTACTCTGACAATAATTGTGCTTCTATATATGGTACTTTCTCTGTATTTAGATATTGACAACACATTCTCAGTACACATGCACACAGTTGAGGAAATTAGAATAAAACTGAGTGAAGATACATTTTTAACATATATCCATGAGTTCAACATTAAGGTTTGAAAATTATTTTCGAATAGTATATTTGTATTGTGTCTTTCAGAATGGTTTTTTTTATTAATTGGTATTAATCTTATTTTAGTCAGTCTTTTGGTCATCAGACCAAAAGAAGACAGGATATTTTTGTTTGGACAAGAAACAATACTTAACATTAGATTGGTTTTGCACAAAGAAACTTGATCGGTTCAGTTTCTTTGAAACATATCTATGTGTATTACTGGCACCAGCAATATGAAGAAGGAAAGAAGGAAAAATAAAGACAGTGATATTCTACTGAGCACGTGTATAGGTGGTGTCCTGGTGATCCTATTCCTGCATGTGAGGTAGATGTGAATTTGCTTTGACTGCTAGAGACATTGGAGCCTTCCCGGTTTTCTGGTGGTTCGTTGGAGATGAGTCTCATAACTTTCCTGCCTGGGCTGGTTTTGAACCATAATCCTCAGATCTCAGCCTCCTGAGTAACTAGTATTACAGATGTGAGCCACTGACACTTGGCTTCTCTCTGAAAGTTTTGCATTAAGAGAGAAAGTAGTATTCTATTCTAGTCAGACAATCCATGGCATATTCTGTTCGTATTAGTCATTTCTAAAAATGCTAGAAATGGCAAAGGAGTGTGAACAGGATGATAAGGGCTGATGGTTTTGTCACAAGATGAGTATTTAGAGGAATGTATGATGTTTAACTTAGAAAAGCAGAACTTGGCACCTAATAGACTCAGATTTGACAAGAAGCTATTTGAATAGATTGGACTTAATGCAGTTTTTCCTGGAGCTATAAACAAGGACCAAGAGTTAGATTTCAACTCATGAAAAACACATATTTTCTACTTGTTTGGTCTCTAAAGAGTAGATCCACTTCAAAAAGAAGTTTCTAGTTCATTGGAAATACAATTTTTATTCACCAGCGATACTATAGTACATAAAAGAGAAGAACCTAAGGAGCATAAATCTTTCTTTAAAATGTATGAAGAGTCTTGTAATTTTAAATTTGTAAATTGGTTACATCTAGTATTTTTTTCTATTATGAATTGATAAGTTATTGACAAGTATTTCTAGTGACTTCTGTTTGTCTTTGCTATATTTTACATTTCTAAACAGAACTTTTTACCTCTTAACCTATTTTAAAAGAAAAATTTAGGATACACAAACCTAGTAAGAAGTATTCTTTAATATTTCAGTATGCTAGTAATAAACTATTTATTTTATATATGTTTTTTAAGTTTCTCTGACAGTGTAGGAAGTGTGCTGCTTTTGTTCAAAATGTTTCCTTC